ATCCATGCTAAACGGTGCCCCGCTGCGCCTGTTGAATTCTATGCTGCCACCTGTCAAATTACCAAAACAGTGGGTGCTTCTGATTGGAGGCAGATGTTGTTCAGGAGACAACTTTCTGTTTGGCTCCTTCGATTTTTTCAGTCAAAGGATGTCAGGTGGAGTGTTGCAGACAGGGCCATCATCTGATCGAACTTTAGCTGGTTCATTAGCAATCAGCTAAAATTTGCTCGGTGTATGGCCAGCTTTAGTCTTGACCTGCCATGACAGTGCTCTGGCATTCGGATCCTTCACTGAGTACTGTCAGATGACCACTGTCTCAGGTCAGTTTCTATTTTCTGTAGGTTCCCACAGCTCTGGAAAGAAAAAATTCCAGGCAGACTGAGGCTGGATTTACATCTACCCATTGTGGTAACACATGCCACTCCGTGTGCTACATTACGGTACCGTTTCTTTAGAATGGCACCCCAGTGCATAAGTACAGTAGGTGCCGATGGACCCACACTGCCATGCACTACAGAATACATGGCTTGTGTGGTAGTGCATTGCTTTAAAAAAAAAAGTACAGGTCTACATTTCCCTTCCATTGCCATGTGTTGGCAACAACCCATTCTAAATGAATAGGCTGCCTTAACACATTGCACCTTAACATGAATGTGGTAACACCCTACAACAGAATGCTGTAGTGAGAAGGAGACCTGAAGGTACTACCAGCTACTTTTTGGTCCTTGCCAAAAATATTTCAAGCTCTAAATAGACATTTTGGGGTTTATTTACTAAAGCTGGAGAGTCCAAAATCAGACTCCCTTCTGCATAGAAACCAATCAGCTTCCAGGTTTCATTGCCAAAGCTTCATTGAACAAGCTGAGGTTAGAAGCTGATTGGTTTCTATGCAGAAGGCAGTCTGATTTTGGACTCTCCAGCTATAGTAAATAAACCCCTTTGTGCCTCAACCTCAAACATCACCAAATCTTAAAGAATGGAAAGAGTCAACTTCACAAATTGAAGAAATACAAATCTGGTATATTTCTTAAAGCAACCAACTAGACACCAACACCTATCTACTTCAGAATGAAAAAAAGTGAAAAGAAGCATTTACTGGGTGCTGTGAGACATGCCTATCCTTTCTTTCCTGTAGTTCTGGCATACACCTCACATATGTCCCAACAGAATGGCTTCCTCATTTGTGTATAATTCTTTTGGTTTTCCCTTGTACACTCCTTGTGCTGAAATGTGTATACACAGATGTTGTAACTTTGTGAAAAGCTTGCCCCACTGAAAATCACAGCACGTTCCTCTGCAGGGAAAAACTAGGAAGCAAAAAAATACAATAAAAAAAAAATGTTTCCAACAAAATGACAGAACATGTAGGGGAAACTGCAGCAGCCTATCTAATAGTTAGCATCTTTACTGGCAGAATTATCGCTGGCAAAACAGAAAACATAAAAATGACTTAAGTGCTTACGGTTTTAGGGAAAATAAATGGTAAACCATGGAGCTATTAAAGCACAGGTTCCATCTGGTTAAATGGGAGCCTGCTTCTCCACACAAGAAAGCTTTATATTTCAATAAAACTGCATGCAGCTTCAAATCTCTTGGGCGCCAAAAAAAAGGAATATAAATCTTTCACAAGCATGGAGTTGATTAAGATGAAGAACAATGTGTTAGGTGCAGTAATCCATAGTAATGTACGCTAATTTGATTGCTCCAACCTGAATAAGTCAAGTTGGTTACTATGGTTTACTGTACATCATTACCCTTTGCAGTGACTTATTAAAGGGACAGTCCACCCAAACATGATATTTTCAGTGCATACTGCTGCAATGCGATTTTTATCTCACTTTCAGTGTGATTATGTAGTGCTATTTGGATGCAACTTTTTATATTCCATGAAGCCACAATTGCACTGGAAGTAGTACAGGAACCTTTTCTGAAAATCACTCGGTGCTGAGTCGCATTGATGTGAACGGGCACCAGTGAAAACAATGTGATTTCCATTGTTATATAAATCTCTCAAGTCGCATCTAAAATTGCACTAGTGTGAGCTAGGCCTAGAGGTCTGTGTCACCGACTTTCTATTACTCCTGGGGACTCCAGTGGTGCAAGCTTTTTCTTTTTTTTTCCTTTTTAGTTTTGGGTCCCTACTCCTTCTGATGCATTAACCATGTTATACACTGGATTAAGAATCCAGCAAGGACAGCATGACCCCTTGCGACAGCTGCAGTAAAAGTGATAATATTGGAACAGCAAGGTCCCAAGGTTCATACCGAAGTGTTGCTCGATTCCTAAAATGCAACAGCTCTCAAGCAGAGGAGAATCCCATTTTTCTCAATGGGCCCATTCACACTTGCTGTATCCTTTGTTACACAAAGCTCGAAAAAGTACATGAGCTTCTTTTGGGACACATTTAGACTCTAATAGGAGTGCCTGTAAAAAGAGCATTTACAAGCGTGTTTCAGGTGTTCCTGTACAATTTTGCTCAAGTACTACAAGTGTTATTAATGCAGGCCATAAACGGGTCGAAAATCGGCCGATTTTTCAGCCAAAAAAAAAAAAAAAAATCGGCCAATTTTCACACCGTTAGTGGGTTAATTGGTCGGGCCGTTTTTCGGGATTTTGGCAATTTGTTTTATCGGTGAAGTTGGAAAAGAAATCGGCCGCTTTTCCCGGCAATGATTTTTTACCGATAAAAAATCTGCGCATGAGCCGTGACCTGCAAGAAGAAGAAAAAGAAGAATTCCAGTCCGCTATTATATTTGTTGCAACCGCAATACTTTTTCATGTCAATGTATCTATTTGTATCCGAATAAAAACATCTGTATCTGAAATGGATACAATTAGAGACATTGTTGCAACCGCAATACTTTTTCATGTCAAATATAATAGCGGAGCTCTCTGCAGGGACAGAAGTAATTAAATGCCGGCCGTAGACGGGACGAAAATCGGCCGATTGTTTTAACGTTGGTGGATTGAACGACCAATTTTTTTTTTTTTTAAACAGTCAGTTTTCGACCAGTCTATGGCCTGCGTAACAGATACACGATAAAAGCATCTAAAACAGGGGTGTCCAAACTATGGCCCTCCAGGTGTCGAGGAACTGCAAGTCCCATGAGGCCTTGCAAGACTCTGACATCCACAGGCAAGACACCCAGAGGCAGAGGCATGATGGAACTTATAGTACTTCAACAGCTGGACAGCCATAGTTTGGACATCCCTGATCTAAAATCACCTGCCTGTGCCCACACCTAGTGTGAATGGGTCCTGGGAGCTGTACTTTAACTCTTTTGCATCTACCCAGCATGGAAATACATTTTGAATGGACTGACCCATTAAATATATTTTTATTAAACCTGGAAAAAGTAGCTTAGCACAAGATGGCTGCCAAGTCTGTTTTCCTGGCTCAATCTGGAACAAAATGTTTAGGAAACTAAAATAGACCCAGAGCGCACATATATCCCAGAAAGCTACCTGGTGAGCTGAAAGGAGCTATTCACTAACTGGGCTAATCAATTCATTGTGTGTGATACTTCCACTTTAAATATATTGATGTCTAAAATGGCAGAAATAAATTCACACGTAGGATTTTTTTTTTTTTTTTTTTTTTTTTTGTTAATGAAGAACAAGATTTAGAATGTCAGCTGCTTTAGCTTCCAAACCCTGTTTAGCTTCTACAGGGCTTGCAATTTCATAGCAAGAAGATTTTTGTTCCTATTGGTGAAGGGTAGACGTACTGTTATCGTTGGCAAACAATGATGCCAACCAAACATCAGCAGACCGCCTACCCAGTTTAACACCTTTAAAAGGTCTTCAAAACTATAGCCTGTCAGTTTGCTAGAGACTAGCGACAACACTGCATCCGGAGACATGAGAGATCTCGCCATCTCATATTGAGCCGACACAATAAACGCTAGTTCAGGCAAACTCTGCTGTCCAAACGGAGTTCAACCCTGAAGCAGAATAGCGAAAACATTCATATGCTCCACAATATTGCAACTGAGCATATCATAATATAAAATTATTAACCAAACAAGTCTAACTTGTTATACTGGCTGAGTCCTCTATTTTTTTTTTTTTTTTTAACCCCTAGTAAACCTATTCTGGCTTCAGAGAAAATGCAAATAGATTAGAAAATGAAGGCCACAGCAGCAAATACTAAAGCAAAATAATTTGATGAATGGATGTCATCATCTTACATGTAGTGCTAAGACTTTGTGTGGGCTCATTTACAATGCAAACAAGAAAAAAAAAAAAAAAAAAAAAGCAGAAAACTTCTGATCCCCACAGTGCCATCATGTGGTCTTAAAGAAGAAGGCCTGCACAATACTTTCAGGCAGTTAACAAGGGGAATATTTCAGGATGACATTATTAACTCAAACCAACAAATAGTGTTTGCTATGCTATCTCCCTACTGCTGTTCCATCCTGATGACGTTGTTTCCTATAAAAGAAACACATGTCAAATATAGGTCTGCTATACGCGTGCTAGCTCTCTATAAAATATACAGAAGTATAAAATGTTTCTATAAATTTAGAAATTGCAAAGTTACCTGTATGTATTGCACTAATACATACAGTATAGATTTTGTACTGTGTCCTTTCAAGGGCAGCAAGGAGGGACACTTTATAAAAGCTTATTTTAACCCCTTTTTACCAGTGCAGGCCTTAATCCCTTCCACTAGGAAAGACTTAAAGAGAATCTTAATAGGAATAGAGGGACTGCTGCAAGCTTTGGGACTATGTTTAAGGACCCCCCACCACAATGAACCTCCTCCTTATCTTTATTAGACCAGGGCAATCCCTTAGTGCGCTAACCCTTTTGCCCTCAACCTCATTACAGTATCTTTGTGGTCAGCGGTAGACCACCCCTAGAAACCCTACAAGATTTGGGAAGGAGGCTGGATGAAGGCAACTCTTGGTAGGGCTCCCTCTTGTACCCCCCCCCCGCAGCCTCCCCCCCTCCAGTTTCCCCCAGTCTCTCCCCACATGTGGGTGGGGCAGCAGATGTCAGGGGTCCTCCATGGTGTCGTCCTTGCTTTGCTCTGCACCACTGTCATCGCATTCTGTGTCTGAAGCGGTGTCTGAATCTTCACATGGGCGGGGGGCATTCACGATGACAGCCCTCCGCTGCTCTTCTTCTTGCAACTGCTTCTCCCGTGTGCCCTCTATGTGCTGTATGGCCTGGTGGCGACAAGAAGCAGTATAGAACATTAGTCTGTTAGCTCTACCATAAACCCTAAATCATGTCTGGTAATGCTTGACCAACAATGGACAATTTCATGCAGAAATCAAAAGCCAGTCCAACTAACCTAAAGCAAGCCTTATGCAGGCCATAGATGGGTCGTTTTATCGGCCGAATTTTCGTCCACACAAAAAAATCGGCCGATATTCACGCCGTTAGTGGGGCAATACCGTCAGCCGTTTTTTTTTTCGCGGATCTTCTCGTTTACTTTTATCGGTCATGCTGGAAAATGGCAGTTTTTCGTGGACATTGGTGGCAGCATTGGTGCCAGCAACGACCGATTTTTCGTTTATCGGCCAAAAATTTGGCTAATAAACGACCCGTCTAGGGCCAGCCTAAATCCTAAATCTGCACTCTCTACCCTTACCTTCTGTCTTGCAGTTATACAGGCTCATCTCCTGTACTGAAATTGGTTACAATGACTTCACTGGACACTGTCATTTCTCATTGTGTGCATTAGAACCTACAGAACATCAGATTAAGTCTGCCTAATTTCCTGGCTGGAGGACATCCAGCATTATCTAGCTCTTTTACTTTTTCAATCATAGCGGCTTAGCATCACACGTGGGCATTACCTAGGGCAATCTGCATACAGATGCACACTATCTAGGAATGGCCATTGTTCCACACTGATATCTACATATTAAGGCCTCATTTGCACAGGGTGTATCAGTGTGTGCCCAATGTTATGGCCATATTTACCCACACAAGGATGCACAGGTGTTCTGTGCATCCACTCCCATTAATGTCAATTGGAACGCAGCTACTGTACAAGCATGGCCACTGCTCCCAGTCTGACATCCATGCAGGAGCACTGTTCCTGGTTGTGTTTGGGGCCATGCACTCGCGAGGAATATGAAATTGGGAGCAGTGGCCGTGTCCGTGCAGCCGCTGCTTCCTAATTGACATCCATAGGAGTGCTTGCATGGGAATTCATGTAAATGAGCCCTAAGACACCAGGACACCAGTACTCTTGGGAAGAGTACTGAGGCAGGGTGCTGTGATGTTTTCAGGAGGCTTTGTACAGCACCCTGCTGGCCCAATCTACCGAAATCTATCAAAAAAGGTATGTAATAAATATAGAAAGGTTTTATTTAAAAACTTCACTAGCATGTTGATGATTTGGGGGGAGAAAAGGAACCAGAAAAAACAAAACATAAGCAGGGTAAACTCCCGCTTTAAAAAACCAACAGTGGAAGTGGTTTAAAAGAGTCGGCCACTAATTGTAAATGTATTTAAGCCCAAAAGATAAAAATTCCAGAACCTGTGTAGAATATTTCTATGCTGTGAGGGAAATAAACATGTGTTTTTGAAGCAATGAGGCTTCAATCTCTCCCTCTCCACTGGCACTTTCCCCTCCCCTCTAAAGCACACGCACATCACCCCCTAAGGTGTCCTAAACAACCTTAGACCCATCTCCCTGCTACCATTCACTTCCAAGCTCCTTGAGCGCCTGGCCTACAATCGCCTAAGCGCCCACCTCACTGATAACAACCTCCTTGATCCACTACAGTCTGGCTTCCGTCCCCTACACTCCACCGAAACCGCCCTACTTAAAATCACCAATGACCTGCTAACCGCCAAAGCTAATGGCCATTACTCTGTCCTCCTACTCCTTGACCTCTCCGCGGCCTTCGACACAGTCAACCACCCCCTCCTCCTTACTAAACTGCACTCCCTTGGCATCAGGGATGCTGCTCTCTCCTGGCTCTCCTCCTACCTATCCCAACGCTACTTCAGCGTCACCTATAACACTGCCACCTCCCCCCTCTCTCCCCCTCTCTGTTGGGGTCCCCCAAGGCTCTGTCCTCGGACCCCTTCTCTTCTCCATCTACACCTCCTCCCTTGGCAAACTGATACACTCCCATGGCTTCAATTACCACCTCTATGCCGACCTCACACAAATTTACCTCTCCACCCCCCCACCTCACTCCCTCTCTCTCCGCCCGCATCGCCCACCTCCTGAACGACATATCAGACTGGATGTCGCCCCATTTCCTCAAATTAAACCTGTCCAAAACCGAGCTCCTGGTCTTCCCCCAGCCTGTGCCCCCCTCCCATCCTCTCCATCACTATTAACAACGCCACCATCACTCCCACCCCACATGCCAAAGTCCTGGGTGTCACCCAGGACTCAAACCTTTCCTTCCAACCCCATGTCCAATTACTATCAAGGTCATGCAGGCTCCACCTCTGCAACATCTCCAAGATACGTACATTCCTCACCCCAGACACTACTAAACTACTCGTACACTCCCTCATCATCTCACGCCTGGACTACAGCAACTCCCTTCTCCCTGGCCTACCCAAACAAACGCTATCCCCACTCCAGTCGATCCTAAACTCAGCGGCGAGACTCATCCACCTCACCAACCGCTCCACATCCGCCACCCCCCTCTGCCAATCCCTTCACTGGCTCCCGATTGCCCAACGCATCAAATTCAAACTGCTAACTCTGACATACAAAGCCATTCACAACGCCGCCCCAAACTACCTAACCGACCCGATACCCAAATACCACCCTACCCGTGCCCTTCGCTCCTCACAGGACCTCCTACTCTCTAGCTCCCTGGTCTCCTCCTCCCACGCCTGACTGCAGGACTTCTCCAGGACTTCCCCCATCCTCTGAAACTCCCTGCCCCAATACATCAGACTGTCACCTACCCTCCTCACCTTCAGGCGCACCCTGAAAACCAACCTCTTCAGGGAAGCCCACCCCACACTCACCTAACAACTGACCTCCTCCACTCCTCCCACCACTCCATCCCCTACAGCCATTTCCTCCTGTACCACCTTCCCCTCCCTCCTAGATTGTAAGCTTGAAAGAGTAGGGCCCTCGAACCCCTCGTGTATTGTATTGTTACTGTCTTGTCTCATGTTCTGTCCCCCTTTCTATTGTACAGTGCTGAGCAAACCCTTTGGCGCTATATAAATACTGTATAATAATAATAATTTATTTGATTACATTATAAAACAATAGAAAACAACGTATAAAGCCATTTATAACTCGGCCCCAAATTACATCAACGATCTTGTCTCTAAATATCACCCAAACCGTACTCTCCACTCCTCGCAAGACCTCCTGCTCTCTAGCTCCCATGCCCGTCTGCAGGACTTTTCTAGAGCTTTCCCCCATCCTCTGGAACTCTCTACCCCAATTTATCAGACTATCGCCTACTCTGCTCACTTTTAGGCGATCTCTGAAAACCTCTCTCTTCAGGGAAGCCTATCCTACCCTCAGCTAATAATGGAATTTTCTACTCTTCCAACCAGTCCATCCCCCACAGTTACTACCTTTTGTACCACTAGCCCCTCCCTCCTAGATTGTAAGCTCCAAGGAGCAGGGCCCTCCTATCCCTCTTGTATTGTTGCTGTATTGTCTCCCGTTATATTGTAAAGCTCTGCACAAACTGTTGGCGCTATATAAATCCTGTATAATAATAATAATAATAGAAAGCTCATGGGCAAGTTACTTATGCAAACTCAGGCTTTTCCTGATTAAGTCTCACAAACTTCCCGAAAAAAATGTGCAGCTATATGTAAATCAGGGGTGCTTTGTAATAGAGGGAGATAAAAAACAAAGAACTTTAAGTGAAAAAGGGAGAATGACTGTACTGTGCGTCTTCTATTTACAAGACTAGATTGTATCCCCCCTCCTTTTTCTACACTTACCTGCACAATGGTGTCCAGGTTTTGACGGGACGTGGACACAGAACTGATTACAGAGGAATGTCCCATAGTCACAACATTGACATGGTGAGAGGGTGGAGGTGGTGGAGCAGGCACTATTACTGTGGGGTGGTGGGTAGGTGCCAGGGGCAGATGCGGTGCCAGGAGCTGTAGGAAGAACAAAAAAAAAAAAGAAAAAAAGTGTCAAGCATGCTGCAATTAAATATTAAAGAGGAACACAGATAACACACATAGGCACCATATTGTGAGGCATTATTGGATGCAGGAGTTAGAAGTTTCAATAAATACATTTTACGAAGCAAATCAACATTTCAACAAAAAACTGACACGACTTTGTATTATATTTTAGCTGATGTTTGGGCAAATTATGCACATAACCTATTTTGTCCTTGATCTACATGTTGGTAATGACGGCAAGTTGGGCAACTATGCTTGGACTTAGAATAGGCACTGATAGAAAAAAACAATGGAGGACTCACCTGGGAGTGAAGGAGCTGCTCACTCCTCTCCGGTGACTCTTGTGGCTGTCCCTGTGCTTTCCCTCCCTCATCTTCCTGCTGGATTTGCTGAGCTATCGCCTTCAACTTCTCGGGGTACATATGAGCTTCCAGAGCTCGAACCTAGTAATAAGGCAGATCAATTAATCACTCCAAACCTAACCAATTAGAAGTTGATAACCCACAAGCACCAATTCTCATAGACCCTTCTCTATAATCAAAGCAGAAGGTCTCTAAATTTTTAAAAGCTACCAGGAAGTGTGTGGGTTGTCTATCCCAAAAACTCCCCTAACTAACATTCCCTCCATAATAATGGGCTCCACCTTACAGTTTGGGAATTTAGTGGTTTTATACCAAATGTAATTTTTATTTTTTATGGACAGTATTAAAGTGTTACTAAACCCACAACAGTAAAATCAGTCTGCATATGCAGTAAAGCATGCTTGTTATACTCACTGTGGCACCTAAGGGGTTAATCCTCCACATTCTGTAAAAAAAAACCTTTTTGATCCTGTCTTCTGTGATCCTCCCCTTCTTCTAATGTCCCCAATCCATCTGCTGATAGTACAGAGCTCTAGGAGTCACTCTGCACATGCTCAGTTTGGTGTGTATTGCTAGGAGGGTGCATGTAATCAGCACAGGGCCAATCAGCACATTTTAAAAAGAGGGTCAGGGGTTATGCAGCCTCATAGGACAGTCAGAGGAGAATGAAAACTCCTCCTACAAGCTTTAACCAGTGCTCAGCTGGACACTGATAGACGTCACAAGACTTCTATATACTGCTGATAAGAAAATGTATTTACCAGTTTATATTTACTAAAATAATTGCATTTCCATGTTCCGTGGATATAGAACTGGATAAAGTGAGAGCAAGGTCATAGGTTTAGTAACACTTAAAAAAAAAACAAATTAAAAACTATTTTAGGCACATATAAAATAATGAATTTAATGTCTTGCATTTTCTTTTGAGCTTAAGATAACTTTTCACTTTTTAAAGATTCTCAGCTTTCTTCTTTGATGTAGTCTATTAATGCAGTTTTATAAACAACTGAAAAAGTCAGAGCTATCTAAGATGCCTCAGTAAAAGTTTCCGAGCCCCTTTATACCAGTGTGGAGTGTAGCATCACCCAAGTGCAGGGTGATGGGAATGGGTTGTCAATGTACCCAAAACCGTAACTGACTTTACTCTGGCAGTATACCGCCCTACAATGCATGAGCATTGGAGTGTGTGTTTGGCATGAAGTGTTGGGGTGCCATTCAAAATGAATGGCATCACAATGCTTACATGAATTGCATCAAAGCACAGGAAAACATGCGCTTTACTGCACGTTAGCACCATTATAGGTATAGGTGTGAAGCTGGCCTGGTCAGAAAAAGGTAGTCTTAAAGTAGGTAGTCTGAGCCCAAGGAAATCCTTTGTCATGTATTAAAAGTTTTTTTTTAAACAAATATTGTTTATAAATAGTTCAAAAAAGGACATGTAAATCAATATAAAAAAGTAAAAAAGAAATGAACAGAAAATCCAATGTTTGCCTTTATAGTTTCCCTTTAACCTCCTTAGCAGTGTTCCCGAGTGTAGCTCGGGGTAAAATTTCAATACCAAGAGCGGTAACCCCGAGCTACACTCGGGCTTACCATGCGGCGTTGCTCAGGGAGTCCCTGCAGCACTTACCTTGTCCTTCGCTCCTACAATGTGTCCCCTGCAGCGTCCCGGCCATCTCCTCCGGCTGATGCCGGCATCCGGCTTCCGTGTTCCGGTCCCTGTGACGTTGGGACGTACGGGCGCCGGAACCGGCGGGAAATTTGAAATTTTTAAAAAATTTAATTTTTGCTGTCATTGCTGTTTCAATGCATTTCACATATATATTGTCCCTACTGCTTTGTCCTGTGCCCTGCCTGCATTTTGAATGTTCTTTCTGCCTGGAAACTTAGAAAAGTCCATGGCGTCCAAAAAGCGTCCCTTTACGTCAAAAGCGGTTTTAGACCAGCGATAGTAAATCAGAACCACTTGCAGAATTGAGTGATAATGATTCGTGGGGAAATTCGTCATCAGACACTGAAAACGATTTTGCGACTTTGCTCAGCGATGTGCGAATTTGCCTCTGTATTTCAAATTTCAGTGTTTTTGGTTTGATTATACTATTGAATTAAATTTATTATTATCATATTATTATTTTTTATGATTATTTATTAAATTATAAATTTATGATTTCGTGTTTCAAGTTTTATCATACCCGGGATGTTTACTAGACTCTTGTTCGTACAGATTTCAGTGAGTTATTCCTAAAAATTACAGCCTACAATAAAAAACTACATATTTCCATGCAAAAAAAATGGTACCGCTTTCAGCACAAAAAAATCGGAAAGAATCATACCGCCAAGGAGGTTAAGGGCATTATACACTTTCAGATGTTTTTGTTGTTCTAACTAGGTATTAGTGTAGTTATATTTCCTGCATTGTTTATTTGCTTTAACTTGTAATAATGGGCTCACATGCAGTGACTGCAGGTTGTAGTGCCACGGCTGATTGCTTCCTCTATGTTTTGCTTCAGCCAGCGGGTCCCTATGCGCCAAGGGGACAGGACAACTTCATGCTGCAGATCACACATCATCCAATGAATGCCTCACCACCCCCCCCGTGTTGCATCACAAATGTGGGAGTGCTAATGTGATAAAACACTGCATCAGTGAGCATGAATGTATGTCTATGAATGCTCTGTCTGCTTGTGTCTGTGTCATATCTAATTACAGTGTAGCTCTCATCTGCACCTGCTCTAGATTGAATGACCCAGAAATTGTGGGATATTCTCTTTCTTTGTAGGAAGGGTCAGTTCTTAGACTACAGACTAAGGTCATGCAATAACCTCTACAGTGCCATGACTCAATGTATGACACAAACTGAGACTGAAATCTGAAGATGTACCCTACTATAGGCTGTGCGTACAGGGCAACAAATGACACCATGAAACTATCAATGCAGGTGAAAAACACAAGATGCAGGTAGGAATGGTTTACCATGCCCTCAAATTGTCTCCATGGTGAATAAACAGGTATAAGAATTTAATTTGGTTGTTAGGACAGAGAAACTGACTCCTGAAAAATCACTCTTTGTCAGATGTAAATCAATTTAAAAACTTCAAAAGAAACCAACAAAAGTACAATTCATCCAAGACCATTATAGTTTCCCTTTAAGTTGTCTCCACAGTGACAGAACAGGTAGAGTAAGAGTTTAATTAAGGTATTAGGATAGAGAAACCAACTACTTGAAATTACTCTTCGTCAGTGAGGCTACCTATTATAGTAATGAGCCAATAGAATCCTCAAATTCAACAAAAAGGATTGCAGATTAGAATTGTTTCAGGTCTCTTATGAAGCTTTGTATTGATAGGTGCAGGCCAAGTTGCACTTTAGTCATGCGACCAGCAATAAAAAGTTACCTGCTCCTCCAGCATCATCCTGACTGAGCGTTCCTTGTCTAGTTGTTGCCTCAATTCAATCATTCTCTCTCCGAAGATCGTCTGCCTTCTCCTCCTCCCAAATATCTGGAGAGCCGATCCCTTCATCCTTGTCTTCTGCCCGCCGCCGCTTGGGAGAGGAGCCACTGAATTCCTGCCACAAACAGAGATCATTACTCTCACCATTCTGCTGTTGAAGCAGGGCAGCAAGTGGACTGCAAAATCAGCAGAACATATAAAACAATTTTTAGTAAGTAAGGTTTACTGTTCCCCAGTTTTTTCTTTTCACTATATGATGAAATAGATCTGCTAGATCTGCAGTCCCAGCTGTAGATGTGCAGGATTAAAGTAGAATTCCTGGATAAGCCAAACTAATCTTAAAAATGCTCCCCCCCCCCCCCCCCCCCCCCCCCCAACACCTGTGCTGACTAGCCTTTGTAACAAATATGTGTACACTTACCTATTTTCATGCCCTTCCAGTCCAGTCACTGGCTGTAGGGGAAAGAAGAGGGCGCTCAACAACAACAATGCTGGCAATGTATGGGAGCGGTGATGTCACCTATAGGCTTCCTATGGCCCACCCATCCATTGTCGGTGCTCCCTCCCCTCCCCTGCAGCTGCTGCTGGCTGACATGAAGCAGCTGGATCACATGACCAGACCAGAGCAGCCTGAAAATAGGTAAGTATATACATCTTACATAAGTTAGTCAGCATAGGTGTAGGTTAGTGGGGGTTTGGGGACGGGGTAGTATTTTTAAGATTAGGTAGGTTAATCCTGGATTTCTACTTAAAGCGGAGTTCCACTCACTCTGTCAAAAAATAAAAGTCAGCAGCTACAAAAACTGTAGCTGCTGACTTTTAAAAAAACAGCCACTTACCTGTCCCTCGGTCCCGTGGTGTTTCCCTCGCAGCCCATTTCACTGGCCGTCCTGTATTCCAGGAGGCCGGCATCTTCAGTGTGGGCACCTGTCTGTGATAGCTTGTTGCTTCACAGCCGGGTACCCACTGTGCATGAGCGAGTAGCGCTGCGCTTCATGAATGGTCCTGTAGTGCTCTGGGACCAATCATGTGTATTCCAGGAGGCCGGCATCTGCACTGTGGGCACACGGCTGTGATAGCATGCGGCTTCACAGCCGGGTACCCACTGCGCATGAGCGAGTAACGCTGCGCTTCATGAATGGTCCTGTAGTCTTCTGGGACCAATCATGTGTATTCCAGGAGGCCAGCATCTGCAGTGTGGGCACCTGGCTGTGATAGCTTGCGGCTTCACAGCCGGGTACCCACTGCGCATGAGCGAGTAGCGCTGCGCTTCATGAATGGTCCTGTAGTCTAGTGGGACCTGTCACATGTATTCCAGGAGGCCGGCATCTTCAGTGTGGGCTCCCAGCTGTGATAGCTTGCGGCTTCACAGCCGGGTACCCACTGCACATGTGCAAGTAGTGCTGCACTTCATGAATGGTCCTGTAGTCTTCTGGGACCTGTCACGTGTCCCAGAAGACTACAGGGAGGGAGGGAGGACACCTTCTGTTTCCGATTGCCTAGGCGATCGGACCTGAAGTGGGAGCGGGTACCTGTCAAATTCGGGTACCCGCTCCCCCTACACCCCGCAAAGGTGCCAATCCTTAATGGGGAGCGGGGAATCAGTCCTTAAAGAGGAACTTCCCCTTTTGGGTGGAGCTCCGCTTTAAGTCAGAACTCCATATATTCAAAACCACAACAGACCTAAGTGGTATATTTACACCTAATATTGTTTGCATATTAACCAGGTCCTATTCTTATTGTTAAACTAACTTTGTATACCATTGTTAGTCAACTTACAAGGTATAGGGATCTTAACTGGAGTTCTGGTATCATTTGAAGGGGATGCATATAACATTAAGTTTATGCAATGCTACAGAAGATGCAATGCTACGTAGCATACATGTGATGTCATCACGCAATTTGCCGGCGGGAGTTTAGCATTCTGGAACAGCCTGGTCTGCATTATGATACAATAGGTGAGCAGGAATTGTATTGTGGAAGTACACTTTATGCCACAATAAAAGTTTATAATATACTACACTACAGTCTGCATTCGATGCCCTTTTGTTTGTCGCTACTAATGGTGTTGTTGGAGGAGCCGCACTGCTGATTGTCTGATAGGAATATGCTGACAAAGCGCTACTGACCATTTTTAAAGGTATGGTCCACATCATCTGGTAAGAGGCTTATGATCTTTGTCTTCCCACTTGTTGGTGGCATTACTGCAAAGATTGGTTACTACCAGGGGCGGACTGACCATTTGGAAATTCGGGCACTGCCCGAGGGCCCGGGGTCAGTAGGGGGCCCCATGAGATGCCCCTGGTACCTTTTTCATAGACTTTTTTGAGTTTGGGCAAGGACACAGGGGCCCCATGATCGCCTATTGCCCGGGGGCCCCATGAGTTGTCAGTCTGCCCCTGGTTACTACACTGGATGATGAAATAATTTATTTAAAGCGCTATTGACCATTTATGCATGAATGGTCTACTGTGTCAATTTGCCTCTTTGCAAAGTTTAATTTTATCATTTGTAATGCTACAGATGACTGTAAGAAACTGCATCATACAGGAGATGGTCAGAGGCTGTGGACATGCTGCAGTACATTGTCAGGGACTGGTTACAAGAGACTGCTAAAGATCACTGCCATTACAGTCCCATAAATCAATGTTCTTACTCCCACTGCTGATCGCTGAGATCCAAGGGCCATGCAACAACCTAAAAAGAAGGTCTTGTACATTTGTCAAGATGCATACCTAATATGTGCACATTTGTATGTTTTTTTTTCATTCTGGTATATACTCCTTGAATATATTTTTTTTAATGCACCTTGTCTTAACAAAAGCAATTGTGTAGCAGCAAGATGTAGTACATATATTGCTCTCAGAGATTATTCTATTACCTGGATGAACCTTTTCAGTTGGGTGTTTTGCTGCAACAACCTGGTCTTCTCCTGCTCCAGGGAGAATATATAGTCAGCTGTCTGTTGCAGTATGGCTGCCTGTGTGGGAACACACAAAAAGTAGACATTATAAATATATAATATCCTCACAGTTACATCAGTGGCTTTTGGATGATGGATGGAAGATTCGACCTAGGAGACAACAAAACTGCACATCACTACAGGTATATTACAGCAGAATTCAAGGTTGACTTATTTCACCGTCCGTTCACTAAAATAGGCCTATGGGCCTTTTCAAAATCATCATTTAGCACTTGGAGCCTGCATCCCTTCGTTCCTGCATCCCGTCGTTCCGGCATCCCGTCGTCGTTCCGGCATCCCGTCGTTCCGGCATCCCGTCGTTCCTGGCAGCACTATGTTACTAGTCAAAGACCAAGTGAGCTTTCATAATAACTTCAGTGCCCAGTGTTGTGACACTATTTGTAAGGAGGTCTATTCCCGTTGATTTGGGTAAACCAAAGACAGTAGGACAGTAGTACAATAGTAGCAATTCAACCCTGCAATTGCGTTTTTGCTGTGCAAAGGAGAAAACAAGAGCAAAAAGAGCAATGGACAGTGCAAAGCACCTGAACCCACCCAAAACAATGATCTCAATATAAGAATGGGCGCTTGGTGGGCATGCAATTTAAAGACTAAATTTAGAATTGGCAGGTCCAATCTCATGCTCAATGGGGGCTTTAGTGGTATGTTATATAGACAGAAGTGCTAAGAGACAGTCCTCTTTCTATAACAAAGAAGAGGCTAATACCTACGAAGAGATGGAAGAGACCCTTGGAAAGTAGTGCAGGCTTCTTTGGCACGGTCCAGTACAACTCAAGTGATTTCATTGTGCCTGGAGATCAACTTTAACGTCTTCCCGCCGATGTGACACATATGCAGCCTCTCGGCGAGTGGACTTTAATACCGAGAGGCTGCATATATGCAGCCCTATGTAAACAACTCTCTGTGCTGAGAGTGTGTGCACTGTGCACTCCCAGCACGGACACCAGCGGGGACCGGAAAGCTCCCGACGCATACCAGCGATCGGGAGCTTTCCCATCATGTGACCGCTGTGACAGCCAATCACAGCAGACCCAAATGCCCACCTCCCGGCATTTAAAAGTGCGGAAAGGGCTGGGAGGCAGTGGCGGGCAGGGGTTGAAAAAAAGAACCTCTGTCCAACTGTTAAGCATGGGGTTGGATCAATCATGCTTTGGGGTTGTGTTGCAGCCAGTGGCACAGGGAACATCTCACGAGTAGAAGGAAAAATGGATCCAATAAAATTTCAGCAAATTTTGGATGGTAACTTGAGGCCATCTGTGAAAAAGCTGAAGTTAAAGAGAGGATGGCTTCTACAAATGGATAATGATCCTAAACACACCTCGAAATCCACGGGGGATTACATCAAGAGGCGTAAACTGAAGGTTTTGCCATGGCCTTCACAATCTCCTGACCGCAACATAATTGAAAATCTATGGATAGACCTTAAAAGAGCAGTGCGTGACAGACAGCCCAGAAATCTCAAAGAACTGGAAGACTTTTGTAAGGAAGAATGGGCAAAGATACCTCAAACAAGAATTGAAAGACTCTTGGCTGGCTACAAAAAGCGTTTACAAGCTGTGATACTTGCCAAAGGAGGCAGTACAAGATATTAACTCTGCAGGGTGCCCAAACTTTTGCAGAAGCCATTTTTTTGTTTTCTGTTATTTTGAAAGTGTAAATGATGGAAATAAAATCTAACTTTTGTTGACATATTATAAGAATGTCTAATCTGTAATTTGATGCCTTTTGGAGATTTTTCCATCTTTCCTTGGCTTCTTTATGCACATTAATACAAATTTTTAGATGGGGTGCCCAAACTTTCGATCCCCACTGTATAAACTGGCGCACATAGAATCTGGTGCAGCTGTGTGCAGTAACCAATCAGCTTCTAACTTCAGATTGTTCAGTTAACCTTTGACAATAAAACCTGGAAGCTGATTGGTTACTGCACACAGCTACATCAGATTCTGTGTGCACCAGTTTTAGTAAATCTCCCCCACTGTGTTGTACATTAATTAGGGCAGCATCATTTTTTTTTTTTTTGTAACACAACACACCGCAACGCAGCATGTAGCACAGGTCCACCAGTGAACAAAATTAAAACAGGTCGCACTCTCTTCGTGCATTAACATAGTAAACCAAGAATTTAATATAAAGCATAAAAATGTGTACTCACAAAGCAAAGCTCTGATGAAGGGAGTTTGTCTCCCGAAATGTGTTAGCTTGCCTCACTAAGGGTCTATCGTCACTTTGGACTGTAATTATAGACTCTTTTTGTCTGTTTTTTTACCCTTTGGTGTGTGAGTAAGCTTTATATTAAATTCTTGGTTTACTACGTTAATGCACGAAGAGAGTGCGCCCTGTTTTGCTTTTGTTCACCAGTATCAAGATTTCCCGATCCTTAAGGGCTGCACCTCTACGAATGACAGTTTCAGTTATCTTAGTCTGCATGAAGATTTGAGCGCTGGTTTCGTTTGTTCACAGGTCCACCATTAGCTATTGCACAAAGTGGCTTGCATTATGTTAAGACGCAGTAAAAGGCACGTCTGACTGTGCGTTAGCGCAATGCGCAGGTGTGCAAGGGACCCAATACTCTGAGTAAACAAATAAGAACTACTGATTTTATTTACATGCTTTCTTGTTTCGTCAAGTGATTCACAAAGTATTTAAACTGAAGGTTCAGCATAAAAGTTAGGCAAGTAGCATTTTCAATGGTTAACAACAGTACCAATATTTTGTTTAAGAATGGTTTTCTTTAAAGCTGAACACTGGGCACAAAAACTCTCATTTAACCCTTCACGCCTAAAGGTAAAACAAATCTAAATGCCTAAGCACAATTCTGCAACGTTGACATGTGATAGTAAAACCGTACATATCATCACAACTACTTTGTACATCCAGGTGGATTATACCTTGATTTTTTCAGGAGAAATTGGGCTTTCATTTGATGGTAAATGGTAATGGATAGCTCCTAATTTTTTTATTATCAAAGGAAAACTGGCCTAAAATAGTAAAAAAAAAAATCATTTTTTTTAAATTTATCTGTGCGTTTCTTGTTAAGGTCATAACCTACCACCAAAGAGCAACCCAAAATAAATTCTCCAGCTCTGGACGATCGCAGCGATACCATATATGTGTATGTTGTGGATTGTACCCGTAGTACAGCCCAGAAACAATAGTGCGCATTTTGTTTTTGTCTTTTTTTTTTTTTTTTTTACCTAAAACACACTGACATTAACACTAACTGACAGGTTTTTTTTTTTTAATCCTCACCTTTGACCTTGACCCAAACACTAACCCTGGCACTGAACTAGATCAAACCTTGATCTAGGTATTTTTCTTTATTTTTTCATATTTATTTATCTTTTTTTTTTTTAACAAACATTTTTTTCTCTCTATGCCAGGAGTTAGAGAGATACAATGTATCTCTCTTCTCCATTCATAGAGAGAGAAAAAACAAGGGGGCGGGCTGCACAGTGACTGATCACTGTGATAGCCAATCAGAGGCTATTACAGCGATGACGTGACCTGGAATCGGGAGTCCCCATTCCCGATCGTTAGAACGGGACCCGGGTTCTCAGTGACACCGCGGTCTCGGTGCTGGGAGCGCGCTGAGAGGTGCGCCCCGAGCACAAAGACAGGTACGCAAATATGCAACACCACAGAAAAAAGCCCAGTTCTGTGAGGCTGCATATTTGTGTTGGCGTCAATGAGTTAAATATATTTCTCAATAGCAACAATAGATATTTAATCACTTTCTATGCACCAAATGCCTTTGAAAATTAAGTTATTACCTTATAAAAATAGCAAAATTAAAATGACTAAAAAGGTAAGGTATAAAAAAAATCTCCCTTGATGCAACTGGATCCTTCTATTCAATGTAAAAGGAGGTGGGGACAGATAACATTTTTCAGGATGTCAGTTCCTGGTCTGCATATTAAAGCTAAACTTCAAGAAACCTAAATATCCTAGGGGGATTAACTGCTCATTTATTCCTCTTGTAAAGGCAAAACACTTATTTCACCTGAACCTCTGCTCCTACAGGCTATTTTGTCCTGCTAGAACGATCTTTATAGCCGCTTCTCCCCTATAGTCTGGGGGGCTAAGGTCCTCTGACATCGAAAAGACCGTTGCAGGGACCATAGCTCTACACTGGACATAACACTGAGGAACAGTCCACCGCTGAAGCATGGGGGAGCCCTGTCTGTGCCAGGCAAGCAGGTAAGAAAAACTGATTTTCTGTCTCCTGAAAAGCAAGCAGTTAATCCTTGCAGTGCTGGTGCAGCCCCACTGAAAAGAAGGGTTTTTAGATTTAGGAGTTTAGCTTTAGACTTACTTCCATTTCAAGAAAATAAAAAAAAAAGCAAAGGCTGGCTGTATTTAGTGATTTACCCAGTTCAGCTCCAGAGCAATTTTTTTTTATTTTTCCCAGACATGTAAAAATCTTAATTTTTGGCAATTACTTAAACCCCCAGAACATTACATATTTTCTGAAAGCAGAGGCCATGTAGAATAAAAAGGTGATAGTTGCAAATTATTATGTCATGATATTTGTGCAACTCTTTATTAAAATGCAAATGTTCAGGAAAAACATACAAATAATTTTAGTGCAAAATCACACAAAAGAATACCCATTTTTGGTTTAAAAACATAAAAGATGAGGTTGCATCAAGTAAAACAGATACCAAACATTGCATGTCTTAAAACTGTGCGCGCCCGTAAAATCGCCAAAAACTACGGTGTCCAAAAATCACCACAGGTGACAGTTTAAAAGCATTTACAGCTCAGCAGTTTAAAATTAACTAGGAGCTGTTGTGCTAGAATTATTGTTCTCACTCTAGAATTATTGTTCTCGCTCTGACATTTGTGGCACTATGTTGCACGTGTGGTGTGGCCGCAGATTACATATATGTGCACGCCCTGGGCTTTGTGCATGTGTGCGGGACAACAGGGGTTTTCATATATTTTATACTATATACAGTTGCAAGAAAAAGTATGTGAACCCCTTGGGATTCCATGGAGTTTTGCATGAATTGGGCATAAAATGTGCTCTGAATGTCATCTAAGTCACAACAATAGAAGAACACAGTCTGCTGAACATAATACTACACAAACATTAGATGTTGCCATGGTTTAATTGCACATAACATGTAAACATTCACAGTGCAGGGAGGAAAAAGTATGTGAACCTTTGGACTTAATAACTGGTTGACCCTCCTTTGGCAGCAATAACCTCAACCAAACATTTCCTGTAGTTGCAGATCAGACCTGCACAACGATCTGGAGTCATTTTGGACCACTCCTCTTCACAAAACTGTTTCAGTGTAGCAATATTCTTGGGATGTCTGGTGTGAATCGCTCTCTTAAGGTCATGCCACAGCATTTCAATGGGGTTGAGGTCAGGACTCTGACTGGGCCACTCCAGAAGGCGTATTCTGTGCTGTTGCAGCCATTGTTTTGTTGAATTACTTGTATACTTTGGGTCATTGTCCTGTTGCATCACCCATCCTCTGCGGAGCTTCAGTTGGCGGACAGATGGTCATACGTTTTCCTGCAAAATGTCTTGATAAACTCTGGAATTCATTTTCCCATCAATGACAACAATCCGTCCAGGCCCTGAGGCAGCAAAGCAGCCCCAAACCATGATGCTCCCTCCGCCATGTTTCACAGTGGGGATGAGGTTTTGATGTTGGTGTGCTGTTCCTTTTTTTTCTCCACACATAGTGTTGTGTGTTCTTCCCAAACAACTCAATCTTGGTTTCATCTGTCCACAGTATATTTTGCCAGTAGTGCTGTGGAACATCCAGGTGCTCTTTTGCAAACTTCAATCGTGCTGCAATCTTCTTTTTGGACAGCAATGGCTTCCTCCATGGTGTCCTCCCATGTACTCCATTCTTGTTTAATGTTTTCCTTATTGTAGATGTGTCAACAAAAATGTTAGCATGTGCCAGAGATTTCTGTAGGTCTTTAGCTGACACTCTGGGATTCTTCTTTACCTCATGTAGCATTCTGCGCTGTGCTCTTGCAGTCATTTTTACAGGACGACCACGCCTAGGGAGAGTAGCAACAGTGCTAAACTTTCTCCATTTGTAGACAGTCTGTCTTACCGTGGACACATGAACATCAAGGCTTTTGGAGATACTTTTGTAACCCTTTCCAGCTTCATGCAAGTCAACAATTCTTGATCGTAGGTCTTCTGAGAGCTCTTTTCTGCGAGGCATGGTTCACATCAGACAGTGCTTCTTGAAACCAGTAAACCCAAAACAGGTGTGTGTTTTTTTAAGGGCAGGACAGCTGTCAGCAACACATCCAATATCATCACACTGATTGGAGTCAAGGTTGGCTCACTCCTGGCTCCAATTAGCTCTGGGAGAAGTCATTAAGCTAGGGCCTCACATACTTTTTCCTCCCTGCACTGTGAATGTTTGCATGTTCTGTGCAATTAAACCATGGCAACATCTAATGTTTGTGTAGTAGTATTATGTTCAGCAGACTGTGTTCTTCTATTGTTGTGACTTAGATGACGTTCAGAGCACATTTTATGCCCAATTCATGCAAAACTCCACGTAATCCCAAGGGGTTCACATACTTTTTCTTGCAACTGTATATATATATATATATATATATATATATATATATATATATATATATATATATATATATATAAAGTAATGGGGCAATTTTTTTTCATGTATTTTATTATAATTTTATTTTTTTTTTTACTTTTTTCTTTTCTTTATTTTTACTTGATTGCCATCACTATGTGATAGCATTGGGCAGGTGACAGGTACTCTTTAAGGAGTCATTAGGGGTCTAATGCTGGCTCTGTGAAAGTGATCGCCAGCTATGGAGCTGCCGCATCACTTTCACTTTCAAGCCGGGAGCCAGCTAAACAAGACCCGCAAAGGTTTACTCTTTGGACGTATGTAGTACGTCCAGAGCTGAACTGGTTAAACAGCTCCTCATTTTAAAGCACTACCTTTCAGCAGATCAGGTCTATGTAACCTCCCTAGCAGTCTGATTATGTCAATATTTCTGAACTCAAAGTGGTACATTTTTCTGCATGGAAATATGTTGTTTTTTATTGCAGGCCTGTAATTTTTAGGAATAACTCACTGAAATCTGTCCGAACAAGAGTCTAGTAAACATCCCGGGTATAATAAAATTTGAAACACAAAATCATAAATTATAATATAAAAATCATAAAAAAATAATATAATAAATTTAACTCAATAATATAACCAAACCAAAAACACTGAAATTTGAAATAGAGCGCCAAGTTCGCACATCAGTGAGCTTAGTCGCAAAATTGTTTTCAGTGTCTGATGATGAATTTCCCCCCAGGAATCATTATCACTCAATTCTGCAAGTGGTTCTGATTTACTATCGTTGTTCTCTAGCCGGTCTAAAACCACTTTTGACGTAAAGGGACGCTTTTTGGACACCATGGACTTTTCTCAGTTTCAAGGCAGAAAGAACAGTAAAAATGCAGGCAGGGCACAGGACAAAGCACTAGGGGACAAAATGTATGTGAAATGGTTTGATACCGTAATGTTATACTATGTGATTTTAGTGTATTTCCTGAATGTCACTTTTTAAAATTTTTTATATTTCCCGCCAGTTCCGGCCCCTGTACGTTCCGTACATCCCGACACTCGCAAAAACCACAACCCAGAAGATGGATGCCGGCATCGGCCGGAGGAGATGGCCGGGGACGCTGCAGGGGGACACATCGCGGGAGTGAAGGAAAAGGTAAGTGAAACAGAGATCCCGGAGCAACGCTGCAGGGTATTCCCAAGTGTAGCTCGGGGTTACCGCTTTTGGTACTAATAATTAACCCCGGCTACACTCGGGAATACCGCCAGGGGGGTTAAGAACCATTACATCATTTTAAATAAGTGATTTCTGTTCTCACCATAAAATCCTTTTCCCTGCGATCACTGAAGGACACAGCAGATCTTCATGACAGATAGGTTTGATGTTGCCACCCGCAGGAGACATCTGTCATGAAGATCTGCTATGTCCTTCGATGAACAGAAGAGAAAATGGGATTTTTTTGCACTCACTGTAAAACCATTGAAGGACACAGCAGATCTTCATGATGGATGTCTCCTGCAGATGGGGTCATCAAATCTATCCCTCATGAAGATCTGCTGTGTCCTGAAGAGAAATAATAACAACAACTAGTACTGACTTAATTTCTACTGTCTCACTGGAAAGCAGCCAGTAAGGAAATCCAGCAAAAAGGTTGCAAGTTTTTTTAAACTGCATCATTTTTATTACATAGCCATATCAGATATAAATGGTCATCTCCCATATCTAAATAACATGAATACATTGCCCCTTACAGGGCATATAATGCACAAAATATCCTTCAGGAGTTAACAGCCACTGACTGAAAAAGCGCATACTACACATCTCTGAGGTATTGCATCATTTACAGAATTTCCAAATATAGTTCACCCCCTGATAATGACCCGTCTACTGACCTTGCTTAGTTTCTCCCCATCTGTATGAGGGATTAGAGTTTTCAGAGACTGGAAACCAGCATTTATACTTTGCATTCGACGTCGCTCGTTGCTGTTGGCGATTTCACGGCGTATTCGCCTTTCCTGGTCTCGCTGTGTCTCGGGAGTTAATGGGATATTCGCTAGGCTGAAAAAAAAAAGTTAAAGAAGAAGGTTAGCTGCTGATGAGTATGCCAGTGATGCTGCTACCGTGTTGGAGTCAACATCCTTAGGGTCAGATGAGGCTCTGTATTATCTGAACCATAGCGTTTGTTGGTTGTCGTATACTCTTACATCTTCTCTGAAACCCACATCCAAGGCCTGGTATCAGATTCAACAATTATTCTACCCAAACGGCACTACATACTCCCTTTATATTCCTCTGTGGAGCAAACCACTTCTACCATACTGTTTTAGAGCTCCCTGGTCAAGCTTTATGGGCCTCCAAAAGGTAATTACCTAAGTGGATGCAGCATCAGTCCAATGCTACATCTGTCCCCTGTCGGCTCTAAGAGTGAGAACTCGGTATTCACATGACCGCTGATCGCTGAGTTTCTCTCTGAGCAGAGGGACTGTCAGTCACTGGAGTCTGCTCATGCCCCCCCAGTGCTCACTGGAGCACCAGGCTGTGGAGGGGGAGGCAACGGCTGGATCATGCTCTCAGCCCTTCACTGAGAGGCTGAGCCAGGTGCTGCGCCAGACTCCATGGTGGATCCCGACTTTGAAGTCAGGATCTTTTCCCAGCCTGGACCGGCTGAGCGATGTCAGCAGATACCCAACAGAACAAACTACACTCCTGTAATCCACAGAAGAGCAGCCAAAAAGCTTTGGCTTTACTTCTCTTTTAGTACATTAGGTGATTTTGTTCAATCTGACACCCTTAATTTCTTTTAGTACCTACAGCTCTGCCATGCCTTTGAGTCCCAATTGGGCTTTCTCACCTTGGAGACTCAATTTTTAAAACTTGAAATATTGTTAGGGGATGCCTCCCTTGGGATACCTCAACATATGAAAATTATTCCCCCTCCCCCTACTGAAATGTAAAGTGATTGAAGGATGTTTCTGATCTGGACGATGAATGTTTGATAGGTAAGATTTATACCTCCATCCACCCACGGTCTATGTAAGAAACCGTTTTAGCTACTTCCTTCCTCCGCTAGATTAGCCATCATCTACCATTCTATGTCTTCTAAATATGTAAAATGGGATAAAAGACGCGCTTGGTCTCAAAGATTCAAGCTGCTAGCATGAAGGTAAACCTCGTATAACCTCCTCATAGACAAATAAAAACACCAAAACCAAAAATTGCAGCGCTTGAGCATGTAGTGAGAAGAAATTAGCGTATGCACATCCGGATTAAAAGAAATACATTAAAGGTATAACACATGCACCAACTTAAACGCACAAATTAATGCAAACAATGGACGGGTAAGTATTAATGATTCATCCGACCAAAACAAAGTGCATATAGTGATAGGGATGTTAGAGTCATTAGAAGTGCATCCGTGTATCAATCAAATTCGTGACTTCCGTGATAGAGAATAGCTGCAAAACGCACTAACCAGATAGCGCAGGAAAAAGCGCATTGGAGTATAATGACCTACTCCCGGTCACAGCCCAAAGATCATCAGCGAAGGGACCTCAGGAACAACTTTGCATCAATCATGCCGTCTCCTACCACCAGGGGGGGGGTACGCCTCCTTACAGTTACACGAATTTGCCTTATATCATCCCTGGGATAAGGATACCTCTCATACTACTTGTTACCCACATGGTCCATGCATCTGACTGTCGGCCATCTTTTTGGATTCTGTTAAATCAGCTTTTCTGGATATCATTATGTAAGTGTGCTACTTGTTCTTTAGCAACCTTTTGAATAAAAATTACTACACTATCAAGATTTCTCTCTTTTGGGTCTTATTGCTGAGTCCCTAAGGTGATCTCCTGATACGAAAGCACACCACCCCTGGCGAAAGATGATATAAGGCAAATTCGTGTAACTGTAAGGAGGCGTACCCCCCCCCTGGTGGTAGGAGACGGCATGATTGATGCAAAGTTGTTTCCTGAGGTCCCTTCGCTGATGATCTTTGGGCTGTGACCGGGAGTAGGTCATTATACTCCAATGCGCTTTTTCCTGCGCTATCTGGTTAGTGCGTTTTGCAGCTATTCTCCTATCACGGAAGTCACGAATTTGATTGATACACGGATGCACTTCTAATGACTCTAACATCCCTATCACTATATGCACTTTGTTTTGGTCGGATGAATCATTAATACTTAGTCCATTGTTTGCATTAATTTGTGCGTTTAAGTTGGTGCATGTTATACCTTTAATGTATTTCTTTTAATCCGGATGTGCATACGCTAATTTCTTCTCACTACATGCTCAAGCGCTGCATTTTTGGTGTTTTTATATGTCTTCTAAATGCTGGCATCGTCCAGCCTCTCCTGCTGATTTTATCCATAGAACTTGGAAGAGTGCAATTATTTAAAATTTAAGGATGGAGGTCATCCAGATTGTACAGAATACCACTGCGGTGCAATTCATTTCTGCAAAGGTTTCCATTTGTCTATTGGTTTTGGTGCAGGTATCAGACCAAAGCCATCAGAACGTCTGCACAAAAAAAGCCAAAGTCCTGAGTTGGAAGAACTTGGATCCTCCATTATCCTACTGGAAAAGGACTGACCAGCTCCTCACTGCATTTTTATAAAGTCACCTATGATTATCAAGCTTTTGAAAGTAGTAACTTTCTAAGCAACTAAAAAACAAATCCAAGTATCTCAGAAAACTAAGTCAGATTCCCATCTGCATAAGCCCTTACACTAGCTGGAAATTGCTAAAATGTACCTGCGTGTTTGCTATGAGTTTCTGTATATTCAACACAAGCACTTTACGGTAGTATTGAAAAAGCCAGAATCAAATTCACCTTAAGCATACAAAGTTGAAAGTCAGCGCCCCATAAGGGGTATATTACCTTTCCAGCAGTTGGGGTGTTGAAAGTTTGCTCTCTTAAGCTGCCCTACACTAGTAGAAATTTGTTCAAAATGTCATTTTTGAACATTCTTTTGATTTTCCAGTAGCTAGTGGGGTCAAATTAATGTTCAATTTCAATCATAGTGATGAGAGAATTTAAAGGAGCAGGATGGAAAACTTCTTAAACGAACAACGAAGTGCGAATGTGGTTTTCGTTCGGGAAAAATCGTACATATTGTAATGAAACCTGGTTAATACACCAAGGACTCCATTCAAATAGCAGGTCTGGACAGAAATTTTGAGGGCTTTCAAATTAGTTGACTCAATGATGGCAAGATAGAATGCTCTGAGGAACAATTTTTCAGACTTTCTGTACAATTGTTCAAAAGAAATTCTACTGATGTATGGCCAACTTTAATTTAGTAATGACGTAGGTGGGAAGCACTGGATCCAGCAAGGAATACGCTGGAGCTCAGAAGCTTCGAGCAAAGTTCCTACACACCCCCTGCCAGACAGATAAGAATAAACCTTTTACAAGGCACTGATGGATTAACATCCCCCACCTGGCATTAGGGTCTTTTTGAAGAAAACTTGTAAAGAAAAGAAAAAAAAAAGCCTACCACTGACTAGCAAATCTGCTCTCATTTCTACCTAACCCTCCCCCCTCCCATTAGAGTGCCCTCAACCTTCTGGTACTTCTAGGTATTGGGGAACTTCTTATGTCCCATCGTGCAATGTTCAGTGCCTGTACGCCATCGCAGGGGGGTTGGGAAAGTTTCAACTTTCTCAGGTTCAAACTTGCATAGGAATTTCGGGAGTACCAGAAGCAGATCTTGGCAGTGGTGGACAGAAGCGTAGGTGACAGCAAACACCTTATGTCTTCCATACATCAACAGGCTCAGATTGTATCCCCATATCCCCAGGGTCACTTTATCTTAGGCTAGTGATATTATCATGTGATTCCTGATTTCTTGCTGGGGACTGGTGCAGTTTGTACTGGAAGTCTCTTATCAAGGTGCTTGAAGCAAGTGATGCTGGTGCTGCCTATAGCAACCAAAGTCCAACTGTCCTACCTTAGAAAATGATATTCAGGAATCAGGATCCTTAATGCCAACACAGATGCTTTGATATGGTAGGCCTACTTCTAAAGTATGTACACTAACAAGGCCAAATAAATGAATACGCAGTACACGTCCTTTGCTGCAGATGCACAGCACTGAAAGGGTTAAGGTGGGTGTTGGTTGTACATCGGCCAGCATAATATGACCTATTAGGTGCCTCTGTGTGTGGGCCCTCTCAGGAAAGGATGGAAACCGGAACCAAGGACCCCCCTTTCATCCCCTCCTGTCTGCCCTCAGGCCTCCGTAATAATTTCCAGATGACAGTACAGGGGGAGAATGAAGGCAGCTGACCCCCTCAGGGTTGAATGAGGGAACTCCAGCTTCCTGCCCCCACCAAAATCTTTTCCCCTCCCGAAAGAAGGGATTAGTCACAGGACGTGATTAACAAGAGGACAGAGCATAGCAATAAGACACTTCATGCAGCAATGGGACAGTGGAGAAATGTTATCTTAATTTTATGGACAATAAAAGGACTTTGTTAATCTGGTATTTGGCTCAGTAGGGAAAAAAAAAGTTTTTAATACCTCAGTTATCAAATGTGCACAAGACATGTCTGTAGAAAGAACAAAATGGCTTCAGGCATCCATTTTGTGCCCCGTTCTTTGGAGAGGTCCTTAATTTCGGAAGAAATGATAGGTTAATGCAGCCTTTCTCAACCTTTTCACTTCAGAGGAACCCTTGAAATATATTTTCAGGTCTCAGAAAGCCCCAGGTAAGATTAGTGCATTGAGGGTCATTGGGAAACTGCCCCTTACATTGGAGGTGATAAGTAGAAAGATATCCACCTTACAAGGTGGCCAGAATGACACCCTTGCAATCATGCTGCTGACTCTGCCAACTGGTGTTGGACCGGGAACTATGCAGGCACCATCAGATGGGAGGTCAGTTGGCCACGGCTCATGGAATCTCTAGCCACCCCTGGAAGAACCCTAGGATTCCCTGGAACCCTGGCTGAGAAAACGTAACCTTCAGACATCCAAGAATTCATTATATGGACAAAATATTTTTGTAAAACAAAAGTTACAGAAACATGCACACTAGGATTGGGCAAAT